TTAAGGGCTTACAGCCTTATCACAACTCGATCAACACTTCCTGTGTGCCAATGCTAATCTCTCTCGAACTCAGCGCAAAAAAACAGGGGCAAAGACAGGGTCTAGGACCCCCAACTAACTTGGGCTAGCCTGTGGACCGCGTCGCACATTGAATGATGTTAGAGGGGGTTTTACGGGTGGGGCAACACAGGGGACGGATAGGAAGAAGACACAGATAATAGACAAAGTTTTGCCGAAAGTCTAATCGTACGCTGTCGTTTGGCAGAAAGTGAACGCGATAATTTAAAAATAAAAAAGCGATTTTCGAAAAATAACGGACTTGGAAAAAAGCGCTGCTGGGAATTTTACATTTAATCAGGAAGGGGAGGAGATTTCAAACAATGGGAGCGGTGAATAATAAGTGATGTTTACACTCACACTGAATCTTAACATCTACTTGAGGGTCCTACAGCCTAGCGTTACCCGAACGGGTTCGCGAGCTCATGCAACGAAATTAGCTATTCCAATTCTCACCCAGGTTCCTCCTTTCTACCTGGGATTTGAATGTCGCTTCCACGCTGGATAAACCTACGCCTAAGAGAAAATCTAACCACCTCAACGATGACTTCCAACTGCAAGAAACTTTGCCCCTGTACTGACGAACAACATAGTAAATGGAGCAAGCTGGAAGCTTGCAGAGTCACCTACTTCAGTTTAACCGAGTGTGAAATAAACGTTTTCATAAATCGACAGCATTGTAATCTCTCTGCGCCTTATCGCAACCAATGCCAGTTTTCTGACTGACTTAATAGAATTCTCACTTGCGGTGACTGACAGACGTGCTGACGGAGCTCTAGTTAACGATAGCTGTTTTGCGGACAGGTACACATGTCATCGCCTTTTTCTAGGGTGATAAAGCGAATCACTGTCAGTCGGATTTTTCGTGGAACTTCCGGCAGCCCTGCCGACCGGTAAAAATGTTCGGATTTATGCAAAGTACTGCTGTAGCACAGATGAGACACTTACGGGGACTACTGCGCTCTGTGCGGAACTACGTGCGGTTTTTGTGGGGACCGCTCAAAGTGCGGAGAAATTCCACGGGGTTACGAGGTCCAAGCACATTTTAAATGTTTTCTTCACCAGGATGGGGATTTGAGAGACTACAATTATCAGTTTAATTGAAGATTTCCCAATAACTTTCGCGCTACGTTGCTAATTACTTGGGGAAAGGCGTTATTGGAAAAACCATTAGGTACGCACACAGGTGAATTGAAAGTATATAGTTGTGCTATAGGTGATGTGAATAAAAAAATATTGTCCGGTTCGAAATTGACAGAACGCTCGCATTAATAATAATACCACCGCATTCTCCCAGATACGGTCAAGCCGTTTCGGTTAATGTGATTACTAATCAGCGACGCCGACGGCCAGTTTGCGTCCTTCTCTTACCTTATTAAGGCACTTTTTAAACAAGCAACTTTTAACGGTTTTTTGATTGATCTAGGGCATATTCACTACCGACTTTTTGTTTTAGACGTGCATGTTTCTCGCCGATTTGGTTTCAGGTCTGAGCGAGCCTACAAATAAGACCTAAACGGCCATCTACATTATAAAGAATTTCCAAGAAATTACCACCTCGGTAAATGCTCTCAAGATGTATCCTATTTTGAAGGTTTTGATAAACACTGAAAATTATAAAGTTTTTGCCACTATTTCAAGAAGGACCCGAAACTCATTGTGCTCCAGCTCCAGAAATAACTATAGAGAAATTAGACAGAAGGAAATTTCTCTTAATGTACTTAAAATGGTATGTTTGCGGGCTAGATCGCAGTTGGTGGCCAGGAATGGGACAGCGGACGGCGACCTTAACCCTAACCTCAATCTTAAACGTTAACCGCTAACCCTAACGGCAACCCTAACCCTAACCGAAATCGTCAACGCAAACGTAGCCTTCAGACATGGCCGCAACTGAGAAACCTAACCGTAATACTGAAACCTATTCGTACGCTCATACCCTAACCGTAACATTAAACGTAAGACGGAAGCCAAGTGGGTCAAATGTGCTTATGGAACCCCACAAAATAGCTCCCACAAACAACCCCCCCCGCCACCTGTGATACGGGGACTGGCCATCAACTGTGATCTAGCCCGTTTGCGATTGCAAGTGATAATTATATTTGAATTTATTAGTCCATGTCCGGCGTATCAACATGTGGTCTTAGGTCGAATTTTATTATTATAACATATCAACCGGCGAAATTAAGCGGCAACATATTTTTCTTAGTCAATATGACTGCGTAAAAATGTCGCCAATTCTTGCAAAACCGTATTGGAATGTGTGCTGAAACTGTAGACTGTGGGCTAACTACCATACTTGGCATTATGCTTATTTGCGAAGGACATCCAAGTGCAAACTTCACTAAAGAAGCATTTTCAAACATTGTTCTACATGTGCTGTTTTATTTACTCGTTTGTTTGACAAGAACAGGCTCTTCTGCATCGAAAACCCAAGTTCATTCAGTTGCAACAGTTTTTTGACGTTTCGGAGATTTCCCGATTTTCTAAATACCTCGTACTTCTAAACAATGGGATAGTAATTTTGAAATTTGTTTAGTACTTTTAATTCGCTAAAGTCGTCCATTATTTCAAAGTATTGGTCCATTCGTTTGTGCTGACTAGTGAGTGATTAGCAGTCTTTCATAAATTTCGGCCCCTTTCATAAGATAGGTCACGTTGTATCGATCAAAGAATGTTCCTTCAAAAATCCTTACACTATAGAATGATTGTCAGGGCTGATTCCTAATTTGCGAAATGCCGAAATCACCTCGAAGAATTGCAGATCGAGCATGCATACGCCTGATACACGTTCACTAGTTTGATAAGATGTCATTTTCTTCGCCAGAACAGACGCAGTCGAGGTCAAGAGCAACGTCAGAGGATGGCCCTGTGATACTAGGATAATTCCGATAGCAAAATACAAGACATTTCGACCGATGTGATCGACAATGTCCACCATGTGCTCCCCATCAGAGTGTGAGCCAGGACGGTGAGTTGCGTGAGACTTAGATTATAGTGGTGGTGGACTTGCGCCGCATCTACTGCACTCCTCCTCTCCCGCCTGGGTTCGGTGTCAGAGCAAAGTCAAAAAAACTGGAGGCGGGAGATAGCGCAAGTGGTTGGCATGGAAAAAAACCCTCATCTAGGCGTACCACCACAGGTCCAGGTCCACAGGGTACATTGACCAGGATCCCATTGATTTTGAGTGCTATAGAGGCCACATTAAGCAGGAGCCATTGCATCCCAACTGTCAGTCCATCAGTCCGCCATTCCGCACAAACAGGCAATGGGCTGGTTATGACGTCGAAGTCATCTCGTCAGTTAGCAACCTTCCAAACGCACCGTAATAGGTTCAAGCGCGTCAGGTTGAGGAAGATGCACTGAGACTGTCGACCTCATCCTCTCTCCTCCCTCCCAGACATCAATCCACTGCCCGAGCTGGTCAGATGTCCGATGCCAGGAATGGGGGCAGTGTCTGACAGAGCTAAAGAGCCCATCTGCGCGCTCCACGTGCATAACTTGCCCCCCCCCCAAGCGTACACGCGCGGATTACAAACACAAGGGGAAAGCGGACTACAATATGGTTAAAGATGGTGTTAGAACTGGGAGGTGAACTTATATTCAAAGTGATTTTACCAGCAGTTCTCCACAATAATGCGAGCATGTAGTGGTCGGAGGAAAGAAAATATACGAATCTAAAAGGACGGTCTCAGGATAAGAGATAAAGGGGGGATGAATAGAACTGAGTGGTCGGAATGCAAGACTGACTACTGTTCAGTCCTGAACTCTAAGCGGGCGCCTTAGACTGTACAGTAGGCACTGCCAGGAAGGAGTTAGGCGAAAAGCCGGAAAGCAAGGCTGTTAGGTGCAATAGCGAATGTGTGTAACATAAAACATGACTGCAGCCTTGACGTGAAAGAAGTGTTACACCCAGTGGTCAGAAGACGCGTGCCATCGACAGAATTCCAAACCACCGGCACCTCCCGCATTCCGTGTCGCGTGTCTTATGGCCGTGGCCAACGTACAGGCCTGGTGACAGTAAATGGGGCATGTTCGCCCAGCGCTCACGTCACTCCAACCGAGTGGGGTGCGATAGTGACTTACGCCTACTTCCCTTTCCTACTCTGGTGCTCCCCTCAATGGACAAATGACGTTACGCCTACTTCCATTTCCAACGCTGGTGTTCCCCTCAATGGACAAATGACGTCGATATGCCAAATGGCGGTAGCTGTCTTACGCTCGCCTCGACTGTTTCGTTTAACACTACCTGTCAGCCAGTTGATCTGTAGTCATGACTAATGCTCTTCCCCCCCGCGCAGGCCAACTTGAGTCACCTTTTAGGGCGAATCTCGAGGGCAAGATGAAAACAAGGAAGTGTGCTGTTCGACAGATTGTCGCGCGCACGCAGACAAAACGCCAGCATCCACCACCATAGGTTTCCACTTTTTCACAAGCCGGCTGTCATCCTCCGAAGGATCGGATCATTCACGATCGCCTGACTGTCGTGTGCTGTTTTAATTGACTAAATCTCTTGGAGAAGCCTGCCTGCAAATGACGGGGGAGAGGGGAGGACTACGAAAACTGTAATCGTTGAATGAACGCGAGTACGTCGACTCGCTCTTTGCTAAGCGCTGAAGCATGTTAGCCCGTCTAGTACCAACAAGGGAGGCAAGTTGAAGGGTCTGAGGGGGAGGAAGAAGAAGAAGAAGAAGAGGAAGCGGGGGAGAAGGAGAAGAAGGAGTGGGAAGGAAAGGAGAAAGGGGAGAAGGAAGCGAGCAGGCAGACAATTCAAAATGACAGATAGGTCAGACTTTTGAATTATATGACAAAAAGCACCGGTTCGGCACTTCTGTCACTTCATTAAAGTAGGAGCAGCCTTAGTAACAGCGATTGCAGGGTCCAGAAGAGCATGACAGGTGAATTGCGGCAGTAAGCCGAATATTCCAGTCATTTTTAGAAGACTTATGGGTATCATATCGAGACGACGCTTCTCGCGGTCTCGGAATTTTGTGAAGATAATCCTTGTTCACCTTGTACGCTACATGTCTCTCCAAAATAAAAGTATCTCTGAGAAGACAGGTGGTGGTGGTGGTGGTGGTGGTGGTGGTGGTGGTGGTGGTGGTGGTGGTGGTGGTGGTGGTGGTGGTGGTGTTCCATTTACGATGGGCGGCAGACCCCCACACGAATGCCTCCACTCCCATTCCCCTCTCACCTTTTCGGCTTGTTAAAGGATCCGGACCACAGCCTCGCATCCTGCTGAAACGCGCTGATCTAGAGATTTCATTGCCTGCACTGACCACCTTCCGTTGGTTCTCGTGGGCATCCGCTCTTCCCTCGACTCGGATCTCGAGTGTCGGCACCACAGTTCGACTAGCCAGTAAAATGCTTCCCCCATTCCCTTGTAATATTTAGAAGAATTCCATCAACCCCCTGCGACACCTCTGCTAGTTGAGGCAGATGCCATCTTCAGCTTCGCCACGGTTCATTACAAATTATTTGTCAAGGTGCAAATGTGCTCCGAATTCGATGACGTATTCAAGAGAAGCTTTTGACAATGGACCATCTAGAGGCTGCTGTCCCGTACACCACTCTAGATGCACCCTGTGGTTCCATACCTCCCCTCCCAGCCTTAGCAACTCCGCCTCCGTTCTTCCTGCTCCACTGCCCCCCACCTCCCCCCTTTCTTCCTGCGTCTGTAACGTCTGCATCACAGACAGCGAGAGCTGTGTTCACTTCCAGATCGTAAAGTCAGTCATTATTTTTAAACTGACGACTACCCCTCGACGTCGTCT